TAAAAAATGTGTGTTGTTAGTTATTCAGAATTATTGAAAATTATCGGAAATAATTTGTAACAAATAATAAAATATTTATTTTTTTATATCGGTGCAACTTAACTCTAACATCATGTGCTCCACGTTCAATTTCAATACTCTCTCCGGCCCATAGAAATTTATATATTACGGGAATTGGTCCATTATTGGTCACCCTCAATGTTTCTTTGGCGGTAGAACCCAAAATACTATTAATAATCAAATTTTTGGAATGTAATGTAATATTCGGGAAATTTACTGCACCTTTGCATTGAATTTTGTTCTAAAATTAGTTAGAAAACATTTTTGCATTGCTTTAATTAATTTTGCAATAAACATTTTTCAATACCTTAGTAGGATGCTCTTCATATTCAAACCAGAGCACACCGCTATAATTTTGCGAATAAGGATAATTAGGTTTTATATTTGGTGAAAATTTTACCGGAATTATCGTGGAAGTTTTGTCTATCAAAACAATTTTCTTTTCACGTACAAACTTTTTCTTATTGTTCATCAAATAAAAGGGAGGGTCAATATACAATAAAACATTTAAATTCATTCCTGATTGATTTGTCACCATTAGTTTATCTAAAAATTAGAAACATTAGTATTATTTTATTCAGTATAAAAAAATTGCAAATATTTAAATTATATAAAAATCCTAATTGTTTATTACGCAATAAACTTTGACGCCAAGTATCTCATGAATGCCCTTTAGAATATTATATTGCACAACTTTTCCGGATAGTTTACATTGCTGAAATAGTTTCGAACATATTAATATAATTTCCTCTACCTATCTGTTGCAACTTTTCTCCCTCGGGACATATATCAATACAAAACGTTAATTCTCTCTTGTTGAATGCAATCCGTGGCTCCATAAAAGTGGCTTTAAATGTAGAAGTTCCTATCAATTTTTGCTTTCGTTGTCCGGAAATTTGCTCAAATATATACCAATCTTCCGTCAAGATTTCATTTCTTTATTGTAAACACAGAAACATTTTTAAATAATATTATTAAAAAATTTCGAAAGAAATTAAAAAGAAAAACATTATAAAAATCATTAAAAAAAATTCTTTTTTTTAATAACATGATATATTATTAAATATTGTTAAATATTTTAATTACATATGAAAATGGTTAATTTTAAAATAGTTAGTAAAATGTACAATTCTAATTAATATAATATTGATTATTAATATAATAAACACAAGTGGAATGTGATATAACTCAACAAGATAAATTGCTATAACTTCTTAAAAAATACTGCGCGCTGGTTTTGTGCAACCGATGCGTTATTACCAATCATACTAAATTATAGTTATTTATGATAAAGTATAGGGTATGAGTATATAGATATAATAGAGAACTTCAATAATCGGTCAAAGTTAGATGTTATAAATACAATAATGTATATTCTTAATTAAAAATTAATTATCTCAGATGTAACTGTGCACCGAAATGGGATATGAAATATACCCATATATAATCCATGTCGATTTTTCAACTGGTTCAGAGGGTTATTATTGTGAAGCATAAAAATTTAACCCAAACTTACATATTCCAACATATTTTGCATTGAACTACATTAAAACCATTAGCTGGAATTTCTACGGTGGACGGTTCAATTTGAAACTTCCTGTTGCAAAACAAAGTTTTTAATATCCTAACTATAAAGTAGAAAAAGCTTAAAATAAAAATGTAAGTAGAAATTATGCAATTACTTTGGCCAGGTTTGACTTTTTTGAATACGAACTTCTGGATCGTTTGACCATATTATTTGACAATGACGCGTGCCAAAATTTTTTATAATTACTGGCAGACTTAAATTTTGATGGCTATTAAAATTAAATAAATTAAAAATATATAAATAATTTAAAAATAATTTTTATTTTATCTTTGTTATAAAAATGAGTTAAAGTTCTTTCAATATTTTGATTTACCTAAACAGAAAACCCATATCAAATATTGGAAATATCTGCGGCTCAAAAACGATGCTACAACCGATTCCAGTCGCAATTACATTAATGGAAAATGACCGACTGTTGATGACATGCACGATTATATTATCAGTGTATTTATCAATATCGCGCAAAAATAGTTTGACTTTAATCTCCTCAGAGTCATTCGGTCTAACTTCACCAAAGGTTGGTTCAATGACCCATGATGACTTTTTCTTAGGCTAAAAATATAAGATAATTTCTATAATATGTTTATATACTTTATACATTCTATAAATTTATTATTCACTTATTTGGAAAGTACTTACTGATGTTAATTTAAATTGCGCTGGTATTGGTGAGTCGTTAATTATGTTAAAATTCATAATTTTATCTTGAAGTACTTGTATCTCTCCAAAATTGAGACAAATAGGTTGTACAGATACTACTGGTCCTCGGCCATTACAAATAATCACACAAGACATAACTGGAGCCTGTTCACCCATTGTCAGCATACTGACAACAAAAAATTAAAACAATAAAAGTTTTTTATAAGAAATTATATTTTACATAAAATAATATTCGAAACTTCCACAAAGAATTTCTATAAATATCCAATTAAAAAAATTTCAGAATTTTTTTTTCTTTAATAATTAAATTATTTTAACTTTTTCAAAAGATTATTAAGTTAATTATTATACTTTAATGTTGTCGTCTGTCTGCCTAAATTTTTTGTAATAATCGTGATATCAATTGTCTTCGATTGTCGTGCTTTTAGAAAACCTTGATAGGATGATAATGAATATACAATAAACATATTCTCGGATATCTGGAAAACGATATTAATGCAGTTAGCTTAGAATAGCTATAGGTGTTATTTTAAATACTTAATATATTTCTGAATTATATTTACGAAACGATAAGCATAAATTTATCTTTTAAAATTAATTTAACAATTACCGTCTGCGGTACTATATAAAAATATCCATCTAAATCAGAGTCATTTTCTACATTGATAGAACGAGAATACGGAAAGTTGATGAAAGAAAATCGAATGTTAATTTCCATGGGCTTGATCGATAGAGAAGGAATAGCACCAC